TTACATCTTAATAGGTTTGGCCTTGTTATCGATGTCAGAAGGGGCAACTCAAGTTGAATTCTATGAAAGAGGGAGCAAGTCCTGAGCGTGATATATTCATTGGTTAGAAGTAGAACTACGTGTACCCGAGTACACTTTTTATTGAATGATCTGAAAGAAAAAACTAGAAATATTGATGCTCTACTTTGTCTGTGACGGATCGCATTGGGATGTTCTTTGCCGACGGAGATGAGTTGTTGAAGCAGAGGATCATGCTCAGCATTTCTGGCTTCCTGCACCGAAACTGTAAACAAGTGATAACTATGTGAGCACTATTCCTAGCAGGACCAGGAGCAAGGCTTGAGCGGATCACTCAAAAGCGAAAAAGTCGGCAAGAAAATAGAAACAGAACGACTACGCGGCGAGGGCATCTATTTATTACTGGATGGAGTGCCTTCCGTGATAAACAAGCTACTGAAATGATTGGTGGCGTTTCTTGTTCTTAGATTTTAGATGATAGATTGGGGTATACAGATTCTCAGAGCAGTAGTAAGAATTAAAAATGAATAGCTATTGTTTCTGGGGCAGTTTAATGCATGATGAAGAAACTGCAACGTGCTACCATTGATATAAGCAAGAAAAATGGCGGCCATTCCGAAAGGGTCGAGCGCGACAGCTGCGCCGGCAGCTAAATTTGGACTGCGGGCGAATCAGTCTCAACCACCTGAATTCTGGAACGCTGACAAAGTAACAGATGCTGTCCGTGAAGTCTTTGAGAATGGATTTGGGTACGAGGATGATGATGGAAATTCTGTAGGTGTAGACCAAGCTATCATCTTGCATGGTGGACTATGCGCTGTCGCACCGTTAGCGGCTGTAAAAGCGTCGGAACGCTTCAGGACCGACTTACCTGTTGTAATACTGCGGGAAGGCGATGGCAGTGGCAGATGTATGCGTGCCCGAGGTGGTGCAGGAATAATCGATAAGTCAGCAAAGCAATACTTCAGTAGATCTAGCATACTTGGAATTCCACAAGCATTAAGAAAACGGACCCAGAGCATATTCGCTTCCTCATCTTCAACCAGTAGCACTTGCGTAGACGAGTGGAAGGCGGAGTTGCTGCGGAATGCGAGAGAGGGGCTAAGTTCTTTCGGGTGCACTACTACTTCCAGTAAGCAAGACTCTCGGTCTGTTCTGCATGCGCGGCTGTTCATCCCCACTCATGTACGCTCATCCAGGGTCGGTGGATTGTTTCCTCCCGAAGCTATGCGAGAGCTAGAGATACTAGACGCGGAGCTTCAGAAGCGAAATCAGTGGGGAATTTTTTGTCCAGTGGCTGATACAGGAGGACTATCCGAAGTTTGTGACGCTTCCATGCAAGTCTTTACTAACCCAAAAATCAAAAGAATCATCGTTCTCGGCTGTCGATGTTTCATGCATCAGATCGGAATCTGCGAGGAGGAAGTCTGTGAGGAGTTTATGAGACTGGCAGGCCTGTCAAAGCGGCGATGGGAAAAGCGGGTTTACCTTCAGGCACATTCCACTCTCTAGACTTCTTAGCTTCTTGCAATGGTAACATGAAAGAAGTTTGAAGGCGGTACGCAGCCGGGTCTGATCCTGTGCTTGGCATAGTGTTTGTGATTATGACGATGAGTAGAATGAATCATCTTACTGCTACTTCAGTTCAGCGCGATGCTTTGATGTTTGGTTTTCACTTCACCCAGGCGCTGTCGTTACGGAATGGGATAATGCGTGTCAGAAGCGGGATTGAGGACATTCTTCAACAGGTCAAGAGACCTAACACAGAAGGCATCGCTGCACGCATTGCAGGATGCAGAAGGTTCTCAGAAACGGTTCAAGCACATAAAGAGCCTGTGGGTATTTTACGTAGTGGCTCACAGTACTGGAAAGAGCTACTTACTGTTGCTGTTCTTTTTGTGGGATCCTCTTAAGAAATTGAACGTGGTATGGAAAAAACTCAACTGAACAAAACTGAAATTAAGTCTGTCGTAGCGATGTTCTTGTTTTGTTTGCTTTCAGCTTCTTGATTAAATTTGGAACATCATGCATCTCATATGGCAGATAGTCCCTCTTTCGATTATGGACTGTTCACACGTGTGGCCGGAGAGGATATCTTTTGCCTTTTGGATGACACCTCCAGAAAGAAAATCACTGCCGAGTATCTCGAGTTGCAATATCGAAGGCAAGTTGTATTTCGGTGGAATAGATACATGACGGTTGCGCAATCATTACGAGGGCAGCTTCGTTTAAGCGGTCTTGGTCTAGCGTGCATGTTGGAGAATAAAATAGCAGGGATGTATCTTGAGAACGGCGCGCGTGCTGCTCCAGTGAAGGTCGGTGTGTTCATCGAGTCGCAAGTCGTCAGTTACTTCGTGGCCTTGTTACTACGACCTCTCGACGCCATTCATGGAGTGCAGCTATCCAGCGGGCCAGGATCTCAAGCAGAACAACTAAAAGCATGCAAAAACAATTTGAAATTTGTGAGGTCTCTTCTTCTTGATAAGGACCGCGTGCATGAGGAGCTCTTCATCGTGACAGGAATTGACTTTTCTAGTAATGCGGAGATCGATTCGACCGTGGCCGCCCCGGTCAGTCTCACAGATCAAATTGAGACGCTTCGAGTATTGGCTTTGAAGACTTTGCGTTTGCCTGGGCCTCTATCTTCATGGCGTTGCAGCTACGGTGGCCAAGGAAAACAAAACGCTGCGTTCGAGTTTTTTCGACCGTTTTTTGCTATCAAAGACCTACGACAACGCATCGCCTTCGCGCAGGACAACCTGTTGAGACCGGGGCTGAGCCTAAAGGCTTTGAGGCATGACCCGCAGACGATAACCATGCTGTCTCTTCGGCAGAAATTGAACCAGTTGAAGACATGGGATGAGCGTCTGAACCTGTTGGATCAAGTGGGGTTCGCTATGGATACTATGATCGAGCCGTGTACAGATGATTGCGAAAAATTTATTGGAAGATGCTCTCGTCGTCAGCGATACCGCGACCACTACAGTTTAACCAGGATCGACATGGAGCGCGGTTTGTCTGAATGGAGTAACGAACGAACGAAGCTACAGGACATCATTGCAGCAACAACGAATACTCTACAAGAACGTCAGGCCGCGGCGCAAGCTGGCGTAGAGTATGAAGGGCCGCGAGATGCGTACAGGAGTTATTTAGCAAGTGGCGATGGTGAGACTGCACGAAAACAGTTGAAGAAGAGCGCGTCTGCAAGTAGTAAGTGGACCAACCAGGATGCGAAAACGCATCGAGAACATGCGCAGCTAGTTCAGAAGGCGAAGGAAAAGCACATACAAGACCAAATAGACCACTCCATGTATGCACAGTTTACGATTTTACCAGAGGAAATGGAAACTCTCGGTCGAAAGAATGCTGCTGCTGTAGAAGAATACTATCGTGCACTAGTAGAAGACGCCGCGTTTGAGTACTACTCCTTCACAAGAAAGCCACTGCCTTTGGAATATCGAAGATGCCTGCAGTGCTTCTACTATGGGGCCCCACAATACAACAACATTCTCGACCATCTTCATCCTGAGAAGGGGAATTGGTTCAACCAGGCAAAAAAACAAATACAAGACCACATAGATCCTGTAGTGGATAGCTCTACGTCTTTCAAAAAAGCTTCTACAAAAGTGAAGACGGAGGGCTGGGGGAACAGAAAGAAGCCGAATAAGCTTACTGAGCTATTGTGTAGATTCGCAAGAAAATGGAGACCGAAGGAAAAAAAGCCTGAAGGCGGCATGCCGCAGGGAATTCATACTAGACGGCTGCAAGCAGTAGATGACGAGTTCTTGACAGCAAGTGAAGCACAACAAAAGACGAACGCAGCTGCTGCTGAAAACGAAAAGCAGGCTGAGTTGGGAAATAAGGAACAAATTGCAAGCGTCACAAGTCTCGATGGGAAAGAGGAGGTCGATAGCAGTTCTTCGTCTGAGGGGGAGGAAGATGAAGAAGTGGACGATGAATCAAAACCGCGGGAGAAATTGGCTGGCGTTGATCAACTTGTGTGGAATGAAGAAGAGCCTCCACAGACCTTGATAGTCTTCTTTCAAGATCCTCGAGACCCTCTGCAGATTAATTATCTGCAGGGATGGGAAGTAGGGAAAATTCTCTTGAAGCCGTACATGTGGATCGGGTTACCACTAGCAGGAGAAGTTACCATCGACGATCGTGATAATAGTGCGACTTGCTCTTTTCGGTTTGACGAGGCAGAAGATGTAGGTGACTACTATTTCTCTACCGATAATCAAAACGAAGTTGAGCAGCGTTTTGAAGTTTGGGCGGCGACCGTTGTGTTTAACGAGAAAGCTGCAGAAGGATACGAATTTGAATTAGGACAACGTTTAGAAATTCAACTAGGACAAAAAAAGCCAGCGTCGCCAAGAAAACCGAAGCAGAACGCAAATGCGAAGACAAGTAAGAAAAGCAGTAAGAAGCATAGCAAGAAAACGTCTTCTACGCAAGCATTCCCAGAAGAGATTCTGCCTTCGACTGTTTGCAAAGCAGTGACGCAGCATATTCCTGTCACTACTGATTTCGCTGCTGCGGACGTGAAGGTCGACACGACTGCAGCAGCGTCTTCGAATAAGCCCAAAAGTAAGCCGCAGAGTAAATCCAAGATGGGGGGTCTATCAGTGAAGATGTGGAGTAAAGCGAAACAAATCAAGTGCGCTGTAGAAACTCCTCTAGTGGAGAGTGCTTCTTTTGTTGAAGAGAAAGCAGCGAGCATCAACGCGAAGCCAACCTGTGACGAACCTGCGCCGATGGACGTGGAGCCTTCGCCTTCTTTCTCGGCCCTCCGAGCCTCTCCTGCAAAAAGAGTGTCTCTGGTCAAGCCTGTTGTTGCGGAGTCGTGCAGTACTCGGGTTGCACATCCTCCTCATCCAGTTACTTCCCAGTCGATGTCTCAACAATCATTTTTGCCGGAAAGGAGTGGGACTCAGCAGCTGTTAGTGGTGGAAGATCCTGCGTTACTTGTTGCTGATGAAGTTTCAAGTGCTCTTCTAATAGATCACAACGGGACCAAGATCACTGAGGTCGCCGAGGCTGCACAGCGTGTTTCTGAGAGTCGCGAGGCGAAGGCTGCAGCGGCTACATCTTCTACTTTAACCGCAATAGAAAAGATTGACTTCGAGCAGAACAATAAGACTGACGTGAAAAAGGCGCAAGAAAATACAGCGGTCGTGGGTACGATCGCCCCCAAACAGGAAGAAGCAAAAACGAAAGCAGTTCCAGCAGCAGCACCCGTCGCGCCGAGTATTGTTACTCAGCCGGCTGCAGCTCTCAAAACAACAGATCGCGTAGCGCCGAAGCCGATTAAGGATGCGTCGGTAGAAAGTGGACACGTGCATCGTCAAGGTATTCGCTTTGTATTCATTTTTGGGAATCTTTCCTCATATGCTCAAGTCGCGTCAATACTATGATTAAAGACGAATGCAACGTCGTATATTTGTTATTTATTTTGCATCGGTTGTTTCTTATTTCTTATCTTTATCTCAGCTGTGTTTGACGTTATCGGACGTAAATGATATTTCTTGTCTCGCAGGGCCGCCACCTGCGAGGGTTCGAGGCGCAGGCGGAGCGAATGCGAAAGGGGGAGGCGAGCAGCCACAGGCTGAGGGTGAAGGAGATAATGCTATTGATCGTCGATATCGACGACAGGTGAAGAATTTTACCGCGGCTCAATGGCGTCGAGAAGTAAGGAAGATGGAGCTCGCCATCTTTGGCCATAACAAGAAGACTGACGCAGAAGCAGCAGCGGCAGCTCAAGCAAAAGCAGCGGAAGCGTCCACGTCTTCTTCCACAAAGAAATCGAAAAAACAGCCCGTCGTGAAAAAAGCAGTTTCCTTAGTTTCAAGCGCAGAGCAAGCTGCGAAATCAATACAGAAAGCAGACGAAATGAATAGTATCGCGGCAAAAACTGAAGCTACTAGAGTCGAGACGGAGCGCAAAAAGGTAGATAAATCGAAAAACACTGGCGTCATCAACTACGACATATTACCATTGGGGTTCCACATCCATCCGTACGAAAAATCATTCAAAGCTTGTGCAACCACGCCGCACCTGAAGAAACGGGTCATAGCTTTGAGGGCAAGGCTGGACATGCTGACAGGATCGGATAAAGGAGATCGCCACATGACACCTGGAAAAACAGACGAGTCTAGACTTTTTGCTGCTACATTTTTGACAGGATGGTGCTTGCGCACAGATTTAGTGATTAGGTGCCATGATAGTAAAGATTTTCAGCGACATTTGATACCCCGGTGGGTGGAAAAGTACTCTACAACAATGTCAGAACTAAAAGCCAAACTTTTGGCGTCCTCTGCTTTCAGCAAAAAGGAGCAAGTGATGTGGGACGATCTAACTGCATTTACTGAAAGCACGAAGAAGCTGCTGCACATGCCATAACACAGCACGCAGGAACTTACTTCATTTAACCCTTCCGAAATTATTTTCTGAAATCTGGCATCAAAAAAGATCTCACTGCCCTATGTGTGTATATCTTGACGTAAAAACGAAAAGCAGTTTCTCGCCCTAGAGTAGACTAGCGTGTTCTTCGACGGTTGCATCTCTTCGAAGCGCGCCGGCGTTCGGAAAACGAGCGCAAAACGAGCCTAAAACGAGCCTAAAACGAGCCTAAAACGAGCCTAAAACGAGCCTAAAACGAGCCTAAAACGAGCCTAAAACGAGCCTAAAACGATCTTAAACGAGCCTAAAACGAGCCATTTCCAATGGTGGAGCTCGTTTTCGGCCTGTTTTAGGCTCGTTTTAGGCTCGTTTTCGGCGGTTCGTGGAAGTGTTTTTTTCAGATCCGTTTGTTCATTTTCTCGCCGTATTAATCGCAACGCGATTTGATGTCTCAGAATTCCACGCAAATGCTGTTTAATTATTTTTTAACGTTGAAGTACATTTGGAGGCAAAAATCAGCTGCCCGAGGTAATAGTATTCGTATTTATTTTCTGATAGGTGCGAGTGATGGATGGTGTGACCATCTGGCGACATATTAATTGACATTGTTCAATATTGTGAAAAGTAAGGACTTTTTATTCAAGGATTGCAAAAAGATGGCGGAAAATTTGCTTGACGAGTTTTTCGCAACTCCTCCGGGTATTCAGGCCTCGTCTTCGACCGGAGGGGGGGCTAACCCTCCACCTATGAAGAGAATCAACCCAGAGAACAAATGGAAGGGTCTCACACCTGTCCGCAAAAGCCAACAAATCATTAGAGACGGATTGCTTATTCCAGAGCAGACGGCTGGCGAGCAATCTCTCATGCTGAAAATCCAAAAAGATTTGAAGAAGCCGAGTCGAGTTGGTGTGGGATATAAGAAATCCTTGTCGCAATACCAGTATACACTATTTTTATAGGATGCGACTGTATGACTTCTCATTTTTGTGCTGTACGTTTCCGCTATCCAAGACTTCTATCTTCTATCTTCTATCGCTTGTCTATGCTGTCAGGTAGTACAGGCTCCACCGAACTGCTCAAGACTTCAGTATCAGTAGATCAATCCATAAATATCCGTCCCTCGCCTTCATTCTGTAGCTTATGCTTCACTGAAAGTGAAACCATGGCGGGCAGTTTGTATGAATCAATTAGATTAGTAGCATTCTCTCTCAGTGAGTGTTATCCGTCCAATCAATTGGCCACTAACTTTCTCCTCTTACTGTCCTTGCAGCTTCTCTCTATTCTACTACTCAAGACGTAGAAGGTCGCCCCTCGTCTGAGGGGACATCTTCATCACAAACTCACAAACTTAAAAATGCTTACTTACTTTCACTTGTTCTCTAACTCAATTAATGTGCAACCCTCAAGTATGTGTCGGAGATACAAATGCTTCTAAGCTAAATGATGTTCCCACGTCTGTATCTGTTCACTTCCTTGTCCTTGGTATGAATATCTGCCACGAAGTGAGTATCTGTCACCCTGTCCACATATATCAGAGAATGGTCGGAGGTGAAGACGATTTTAACACAAGTGCAGAATACTGGCGCGTATCAACGTTGGAACGCAAACAAAGCAAAATTTGATACGCAGCTTCGCCTGTTGCCAGGAGGTGACCCCGTGAAAGACGCGAAGAAGTCTATGAAGGCGAAGCAGCAAGACATAGACCTATTCGAAATTCCAGAATGCGACCTGACGAGGATTACAGTATATATTGGCGAACTCCCTTGTAACTGACGCACTCCGCATCACATTTTGTGTTACTTATTTTTACTCATTGAGCAACACTGTCCATTCTCCACTGATTCATCATATGACGCGCATTGCGTGACGATGTTTGCTGCTGTGCATGAAAATAAAACTTCTTGTTCTTTCCTATGGACGTCACTTCTTATAAGCAAAGGAGTACCCTCTTCATCCATTCTCCAATGAGCCACAGGGTCAAATCGGTGAGAAGCTGAAGCAGCAGGGTCGCATACAAAACTACTCGAAATGCGTTGAGACCTTGAATGGACACTTTTCAAGTGGTCCTCGAAGGGAGCGCATGCGCCAGCTCATGGCGAATGAAATTCCTGGAGAAGAGTGGCGGTTGCAGTTGCTTAAGCTGGCGATGCTACAAGCAGTCTCAGGAGCGATCACGGCTTACGAAAAGCCAGATTGTTTGCGTGTATGGTACTACCGAAATTATACTGATAACTAAGTCCCTGATCATAGACCATCATATTGATTCCGTGGCCATCAATTTGCAAAGTAGACTTGATCCCGTTTTATAGTCAAAGGATGATGGTGGTTCCAGTTGTAACGTATATACTCAACATGGTGTCTGCGATTATAATTTTCCATACAATTCGATAAGGCAAGAAGTTTCTTGCTATTTGTTTCGCTATTCCTCTCTTTTTCTAATAGCCTCCGCTTCTACTAAGTTCTCTTCTCATTTTTTGTTAGGTTGGATACGGTTGATCCGGAGGTTTGGCGATTCCTGGAATTGAGTGTGTGGTGGGAACAATTAGGCTACGAACGCGGCGTCCCACTGACTATGTCTCAGGACACGGAAAACCCCAGTAATTTGCCAGTCAAACAGGGCGATCCCTACGCGGAGATTCTGGGCGTCTTGCAGGCCGTACTTCTATTACTTCCCATTTCTTATGTTTGTATTGTAAAACTTATACTTGATCAGAAATAAAAGGTAGGAGTGAATATGATGCATAGCTTTACGCAAGAACTCGATTTCTTTCAGTGCATTTCTTGAAAGTAGTAATCTATAATCCATCGCACCATGACAGTAAAGCTACTACTTCGCGTCGGTTCTAATCAGATTTACGATAAGGCGACGGACGCAGAACAGAAGCAGGAGAAGGCTTTAGACATGAAGCAAGAAGCTATGAACGATGACGCGGACGCAACGGGTGACGAATCAATCCAAGTGATGATTGATGACAAGTGGGATTCTTTTCAACTCTTTGCCGCTTTGAACCAGTACGCTCCTGATATTGCGGACGACGAAGATACAGCGCTACATATTGTTGTACCACGCGGGGATCACAGAGTTCTTTTCTTGACTCGTGACCGGGTACTACAGTGTACAAGCACTCCTTTTGGATGCATCTTGATTCCTGATCAGGTACAGATCATGACTCCCACTAAATTTCTTCAACTAATTATTTGTTTATGTGCTAGCCACAAGCACTTTCGTTTCTTTATACCATTGACCGATTGTTGTCGCCTCCTTATTTTTCTACAGGCTGACGGTGTAATGAATCAAGTTGCGAACCTACAAGCGAAAGCAGAGGCACTGCAACGTAGACCAAAAGCACTTACCGATCTAGAGCAAATTTCGGCTTTCATGACGAATGCCTACAACAATTTCGAGCAATTTTCGCGGTCTGACTATCTGTACGGCCTTTTTCTTGGTAACGATGTGAAAAACGCATGCATCCGCGCGAGCATGACTTTGGGCGTCAAATGGAACTCCTTCTTCGACGGGATGAGAAAGAGTAGTATGAAGTGGCTGAACAAACCGGATGTAGAGCTACAAGTTTGGCCAGCCTTCTTGATGATCGAGTTGCCCAGCTTGCCCGCATCGAACATCAGATGATTAGTAGTGTCGCTGTTCTCAAGGAGTCCAACATCTACACATCTCCAGCGGATACTATTAGTTTTGCAGCAGTAGAGGAGTTCGCGAGCGATTTGAATGCCACACACGATACCCTTTTGATGAGCGTGGAGAAAACAGACACCGTTTTCAAAAAGTTCATCTTGAAGTCTATTGCGTCGGTGCGTCTTCAACTGCAAGATGCTGAGTGGTTCAAAGCAGCTTCCACGGACATAGAGAATTATCTGGCCAGCGAAAGCGGTAGCGTTTAGTTGTAGAGTTGTGCTTCTATATGCGACCTTTTTTCATTCCGATCCAGTCTCCTGATCAAGAAGAACGATGCAAATTATTTGATAGACTTCACTCTGTTTTTGTTCTCCACAACTTCTTGCCTGTCTTCAATTATATGCAGGCTCTTGATATATCTTACGCACACTCCCATGACTATTAACTTTCACGATTTCACTCGCTACCAGATATGACGCACGATGGCCTTATGGAACTTGGAGATAAGCGCTTGGTTAAGTGCCTTGAACTATTTGCGAAGGACTTTAAAGAAGTGGGCCTGCAGTTTGAGCGCTTGTTGGAATTCAAAGCACAGAAAAACCCAAGTTTACTGGCGCAAGACCGTACTGATTCGAAAACATCAGCAGAGCTTCTTCGAGGATTTGGCTTTCAGGTCGCCGAACCAGAAGCTCCGGAGCAAAATTCAGGGGAGCGCCCAGAGGGCCCGAATGTACTACCTACTACAAATCACCTTGACCTTGGCGATTTTATTTTTGATGGTGCGGACGTTGGTGAAGACGCTGATGATGACCACACTAATCATGCGAAACTACAATCTTCACAGGATGCGAATGCCAACTCTGCTTCCGGTCCCGGTCTTACAAACAGAGGCGCTCCGCCAGTACCTGGACACGGCAACGTGCCGCGAGGGAACAATAATCCGGTCCCGCACCCTCCTGCGAATCCACAACCCAACGCACCCCCGCCTGTGCCTCCCATGAATCCGAAGCCGCCGGTCATCAACCCGCAACCGCAACCAGGCAACATCAACAATCCTGTCCCCGCGCCGCCGGGGAACCATAATCCAGTCCTGAGTCCTCCTGTGAGTGCGCAGCTCAGCGTGTCTCCCCCTGGGCCTGCCATGAGTCCGAGTCTGCCGCTGCTGCTGAGTCCTCCTGTGCAGCCATGCAGTCAAAACATGAATCCTAACGTGGTGCCCAACGTCAACCCGGGCTTCAATGTGCCTCCTGCTGTAGTCCCATCTGTGCCTCCTCCGGTGGGTCCAGCGTTGTTGCTGAATCCTCTTGTGCAACCGGGCAATCTGAACATGAGTCCTAACGTGGTGCACAACGTGAGTCCAGGCTTCAATGTGCCTCCTGCTGTAGTGCCATCTGTGCCTCCTCCGGTGGGTCCAGCGTTGTTGCCGAGCCCTCCTGTGGGGCCGGACAGTCTCAGCATGAGTCCTAACGTGGTGCAAAACGTCAGCCCGGTCTTGAGTGTGCCTCCTGCTGTAGTCTCATCTGTGCCTCCTCCGGTGGGTCCAACGTTGTTGCCGAGCCCTCCTGTGCAACCGGACAGTCTCAACATGAATCCTAACGTGGTGCAAAACGTCAGCCCGGGCTTGAATGTGCCTCCTGCTGTAGGTGTAGTCCCTGTTGTGCATCCTTCGGCGAGTCCCGCGTTGCTGCTGAACCCTCCATCTCATCTAGTTCCTGCAGGTGCCACGAATGGAGGAGGAGGAGGACACGGAGGTGGACAGCAGCCACATCTTATTGTCCCGGAAAGTACTAATCCATCTTCTGCTGCTGTTGCGGCGAACACGACTTCCGCAAAAGCTGCTGCGCCGCAGAATCAGGCATGGCCTCCATCCGCGCAAGTTGTGAGCGGAGTTGTTCCTGCTGCTGAAAATGTTCCTCCTCCCGGTCCAGCTGGTCCTGTCGCTCCAGCAAATACTACTAAAGCATCTGCTCCAACGGACGACAAGAAAGAAAAAAAGAAAAAGAAGAAGTCAGAAAAAGTTCAAGCAGATGACCTTCTGGCTACTCCTAGCAAAAAGAAAGAGGACAAAAAACCTAAGAAGGAAAAGAAGAAGAAAGAGGCCGATGCCACGCCAGCGCCGCTAGCACCAGCGAAATTCATCAAGCAGGAGCTGAAAGAAAATGACGACAACCCTGGGGAGCCACAGAGTACACCGGTATCTTCATCAATATACGCGCTTTTGGTGATGTTATATGATCCACCAAAAACATTCCTTGACTAGTTGGTGTCTTGGTGAGTTGACTTTGAAAAATAAGCTATACTATGTATGCATGTCTGTGTTGACTACGTAGCTTATTATAGTATAATCTGTGTAGCAGACTTTTCTTGTGTACTCCTCAATCCTTATCAAATTACTTGGTTATTTATGACGCTATGCACTTACAGGCATCTGGTGAGGCTGATGCATCGAACAAACGCGTCCGCAGTCTGGGTAGCAGCCAGCAAAGTATGCCTGAAGGATCTCTCAATGCTCGAAAAATCAAGAAGATGCGCAAGATTTTGGACGAGCACACGAATAAGCGCTCTTCGGATGGTATCTAAGTTCACTCTGCTTGCCTCCGTAGTGCGCCCTTTCTCATCTACATAGCTTCTGGGATTTAGAAACTGCTGCTCATTTAAGTTTCTCTATTAGTAAAGTCGCGACTATTTTTCTACAATTTCCACGCCACCTCTCCAGATGATTGCCTAGCGATGTTTGAAGAGATGTGGGGTGATTTGTATCCAGAGAACCCAGATTGTTTGGAGTCGTCTCCGGAGGTATCAGAGTTCGACTTTGGTGAAGAGAATCTTCAGAACGGTTTGGGATTGGATGCTCTGGACAATGAACATCAAGACGTGGAGGCGCACATCTCAAACAATCCATTCGCCACATCGGATCCATTCGAAGATGGCGACGACCCCCTTCTACTCGGAGGCGCTGTCTAAATCGATGGAAAACCAAATAACGAACATGGAGAATTTCTCTAACTTGAATAAAATAAGAAGAGTAGTTCACGATCTTGATCTTTTATTCATTTAGTATGTTCTGCCTTTCATATTCAGAGAATCCCGCAAGTAAGAAGTGAAGCATTTTCTGAGGAAACTACTTTCATGAGATAGCCACCTTGTGGATTAGATTGATGGTCCTCCTTCGTCTGTATCTCGAGACACACCACAGAGGAAGGATAGAAGAGCCACAGTCGCTGCATCTCATTTAAACAGCGACTATTTATAAGTTCTGCAAATTGATGCATGTCCTTCTCCGTCTGATAATGATAGGGACCTTTCATATAGTGCCCCACATTTTCAGCCTTTTTGTAAGAAACATAATGCCACCAAATGGCGTCTAACTTGGTAAACTTAGCAAGTATATAAATAGAACGTGGCCAATGCTATGAAAGAATTGAGAGGGTTCGCCATACGGATGTGATGCTGTGGCCAGTTGTTGAGACTTTTCTTCGGTTGAATTACAGCACTACTAACTTTTACTGTACTTCATCTAGCCATAGGATGCGCAGGAGAAGAAAAAAGTGTATTGATTTTGTTATCGTCCGATTTATTGCTTTAGCGCTCTCATCTAGAACCCTTCTGCAAGTGATAGCGTTACAATGTAAGCATACAACTACATGCCAAAGTATCCAGCTGCGTCAATCTATTATAGACATGCCAATAATAATAAACAAGTGGCGCTTCGTTCATGGTAATTAGTACGAGCGTGCATTGTGATAGCTTTTCTTACTCATGATTATTTTATATTACTTGAGTACGGTACTACAGACTTACTAACTTGTCTCTTAACGGTTTTGGTTGAGCATCGTATTCGTTGTTTGTTGCCATGCAATCAAATGCTTCAAGGTATTAGGTAATTTTTAGAGGGGCACACAGTCAAAAGATAGACGTGTGAGTTGAATTCGTCACGGAGTATATTTTTGCGACAAGAATGAAAGCACTTGCTTCCACATAGAGTAAGGCGCGTAGGAGCGTACTAGTCATTTTTCCATGGATATGAAACGCTTCGTGATGTTCATTCCCTATGAAACGGAACGAAAACAGTTGGCGAGAGCAGCATACTAGTATAGTACTAATCGCATACAAAACCAAACATGAAACAGCTTTTTTGCAATCTTCCCATGTTTTTTTTGCTCACGGTTCTGAGAGAAACTTGATCTACACGAATTTCGATTCATAAGAAGCATGCTGCCCAGATTGATTGTCTTCACATGCGGCCCACAAGCTGCATCCGTGTGATGTACAGCGAACAAGTTCTATCATTTCAGAATTGTGTTCTTGTAAGTATTTCACGTACTACGTTGTACTTCTACACTGGCCCTGTGAGTCCCAATGAGTCCGAGAATGAACCTTCAAAGAATAGGTGAGCTCTTTTCTATGTTGTGAGTGCGTAGCATCCTTCTGGCAGTTCTTCATTCTGAGACCAACGAGACGAAAATCAACGAGCATGAGAAATTGAAAAGAGATCGCCACTGATCGCATCGTCTGAATGAAATGAGGCCGACACATACTGCAAGGTGGTTGCACCGTCTGCGAATCACCTCAAATCTCGTATGTCGTGGAGACGTAAGAACGATGTCGTAAGTCGTGAATCGTGAGCCACTTCTTATTCAAATGAAACTTTTTAAACACAGTTCCGATCCACTGTTTCCGAAATTATTGTGATGCCCTTCGCTCCCCTTGTGAATTGATGAAGTTGGCGCTCTATTGGTTCAGCATCGACTCAGATCGTTCTTCTCTATGATTACACACCCCCAGTTATAGTCTAGTAAACTCGTGCTTGCTTATTTAATGAGCAGAAAGAATACGGATGGAACAGGCAACATCTGACGAATCTCATGCCTCCACTTCCATGATAGGAAAATATCCTAGTACTTGGGGAGTACCTTTAGCTTTGGCCATGTATAGACGTGAGTTGTTTGTTGCGTATGGATGGGTGTACTAACAAACAGAGTAAAAGTTCATCGTGTATGCTTTCGAGTCTCCACAGGAAATTGCTTGGAGCAGTGAGCATCTGTTTTCTTTAAATAAGATGGAGTGGTCTGATGACAAAAGAAGCATGACTCAGATTATGCGGCGGACCGCTTTCAGAGCCTTCAACAATGGCGACAGCGAATCGCAAAGGCTCACACACTTTTACGACATGCGACTTACTTATGTGGACCCGGACGCAGGTGAAGCCGCGAGCGCGAATTCGTCGCCAAATAAGAGCAGCTGCAGTGAGAGAGAGAGTAGAAGTAGACTACATTGCGCTACCGAGCACGCGCGGCGAAGTGTTGCGATTCTATGACCTTGGGATGGTTTGTCGCTTGGTGCGTAGTGGCTGCTTGCAGTCTGCTCTAGTGGGTTTATCGCGTTTTGCGCCGCCGCTTCGCTATTTCTCTATGCAGAGGGAACGAGCGTCAACAGGTTCTGCTCGAGCTGGCTAGTACTACACGGCGTTTTCGTCTAGTTATCTCTTTGATAGCGGATATGGTGCTCAGCGAAATTCAGGACCTTTGGTAAGGTGGTCAGCGGCCCGCGCAGAGGGCCAGTACCACGCAGAAGCACCTGGTCACTCTTCTACTTCAAAACAGTAAGAAAACGAAGGAGAAGCAATGGCCTCAACTGTGTTCCCCATAGTGTTCGAGAATTTATTTGATCTGTGTGGTTCTTTTTGTTCTTCTTTGACGTGTCTAGTGGAAGCAGGTCGTCCCGGTATGTGTTGGAAAGCTTTCTCTTGGCTGTCATGAGCGTGCGGCTGTATGCGGCGAGCCCCGTCTTTGCAAAGATGGGGGCTCCGAGGTGTTCGCAATGCGTGCAAGCATACGGCCACCGCGTGCGGCCTGCGCTCTTTGTTTCTGGCAGTGTGGTAGTGGAGCTGGCCTTGGGCGCACTCTAGAGCGCTCGAGGCCACCCTCTAAGCTTGCGGCATCAAGTTGGGCGCGTGCCTTGTTTACCTCTGCAGCGTGAGTGCTGGCCGTGTTCGTGTCGTGAGATGGTGGCGCGTGGTGTCTTGTAGGACTGCGCCACTCTGACGCGCCTACTTTGCATGCTGTGAAGGGAGCCGCCACGGAACAAAGCACAGCGCGCGGCGAGGCGAAGCGCCACTCATTCCCCGAAATTATTGCGCGGCTCTGCTCGCTTTAGACTAGTAACCTACCAGCCGACTACGCGGCGAGCGCAGGCGAAGGCGCCGGCCGGGGCTGCAGTGCAGCTAAGCCCACAGAACACGCGCCCAGAAGTGACACGCGGGCGCCGCTTGTCGGGCTCTTGCTCTTCTGTTTCCTTCTTGGGAGGGAGCTGCTTAAAGAGTTTCCTTATGAGAAGCAGGCCCTGGCGGGGCTGGTGGTGGCAAGAAGAAGAAGAGGGCGCAGAAGTTGGCGGCTTTGAGGCACAAGCAGACCGCAGGGCGCCCAGCCTCTCTCAGCTGCGGGCAGCACAGACAGACCGCGCCGGGCCCAGGGGGCTGCGGCTACTTGCTTGCTTGTGCTTGTGGTCATCATTGCGGGGCGCGGCACGAAGCGCAGGATGTTGGCGCCGGCTTCTGGAACTGCAGCAAGCGGAAGGGCCTCCGCTCGTGTGCCTGGGAGTCATTGCCTCGCTTGTTGTTGTGGATTTTCTGAAGGACAGAAAATAAAGGGCTTGCTCTTGCAGGGTTGTCGTGCTTGTGTGGTTCTGTGTCTGCATCTTTCCAGCTTTGTTGCGTGAAGTATTTGGTGGACCGCTTCGGCACTCACCTCAGAGGCTGCGTGGCTGATGGGGTGGAACTGCTTGCAAAGCGTGGCGACTGCAGCGTGCTGCGGGTTTTCTGCCATGTCAAGCAGGATAGCGAAAGCGCAAAGGCTACCGCAGCCGCATGTAAGAGCATGGCGGACCGGTTGCAGCGTTCGCGCAGGCTTTGTCTTGTCCACGTGTGGCGCCTTCTTTCTTGAGCGGGGCGGGCGTCGCGCTTCATTTGCCGCAGGTTTCGCCTGAGGTGCTCGCTTGGCCCTTCCCTCTTTGCTTTGCTTTGTATTGTTTGGTGTACATCTGCGATCTTAGTGAATATTGGCAATCTTGGCAATCGCTTCCAGCTGTTGCAAATATTTAAGATCTGGACGAATATTTGCGCGTCTTTTTTGCGGCTGCTTTATTTATTTTTCTTTGTAATATTTTTTCGCAGCTGTAGCAGCTTAAAAAAAGCGCGGGAGGCGCCTGTGGGTTGTGTGTGTGTCGTTGTTTTTGCTGCTGCAGGACGAGAGGCGCCGGGCGTCGGTGGTGTCCTTGGTGTTTTTTGTGTGCAGTTTTTGCCTGTGTAATATTTTCGATTTCTGTGCGTTCTCTTCTACGTTTTTCCCGCTGTGTGTCTGTGTAGCTGGTTCTTGTGGTGCGCTGCTGCCGTCTTCGCTGTGCTGTTTCCGGCGTGGTTTTGCCGCTGAGTCTTACAAAAAAAGCGGCGGCAGCTGTTTTTCTTTCTCTCTGGAGAATTCTGCAAATATTCCTCGGCGTTATTTTTCGGCTCTTTTATATTTGTGCGTAGATTTCTCATGAGTGGGCTAGCTGTAGACTCTCAGGCTTTTTGCTTGTCTGCTGGTTACTTGGTGCGCTGCCTTTGGTTCTTCTGCTTTCCCCTTGTTTCTGCGGGATGGTTGTGCCATGGCCTGGGTTGTTTATTTTGTGCTTGTTGTGTCTCTGTCTCTTCTTGTCTGTCTTTTTTTGTGCACTTTCTTTGTGTTTTTTGGTAGCAGTTTGCCGCGGCGTTGGTGGCAGTGGTCGTCGGGGTTTTCTCCGGTTTTTTCTGCTGTCTTTTTATTAATTTCTGGCAGCTGAAAAACGGCGCCGCTTGCGGAACACGAAATTAATAAGCCCGCGCGCGGTTTTTCGGCTGGTTTGGAGTTTTGCGACCGGGTGTCGCCTGTCTTCTTTATTTCGCCTCTTCTGGTTGTTATCTTCGTCGCGATGGTGTCACTGCTCGACCGTGTTGCGCCTTGACGCCCGCGCGCTTTTGTTTGTGTCTCCTCAGACAGTCACACCATGGGGGGCAGGCTAAGCGTGGAAGAGAGGGGAGCGCGTGGCCTTTTTCTACTAAGTTCTTTGCGGGAGGTTTGCGCGATAGGCTCAGGCTGTCGCTTCGTCTTTCTGTGGAGCTCCTCGACGTGGCGTTTCTCTGTGGCAAACCGAAAAAGGGCAGGCGCCTGCGCTCTTTTTTGCGGCTGCTCCGTATTTTTTGCGCGATGGGTAGAGCTTGGCTGGGCACGTGGTTGGCCGTTCGTGTCCCTTTGGTTTGTGTCTCGGTGTCTGCGCTGAGGTGGTTGGGATGCACAATGTGTCAGCTGTGTCTGCTTCCTGGCGTGCATCATTGCGGCGCTCGCTTGCTTCGTTGTGGTGTAGATCGCGGCAGGCGGTCGCTTCTTTGGTTGTTTTGGTTCTGCTCGGCCGCTATTTCTGCCTCGTCTTTTCTGCAGCATGGTTTTGCGCTCCTGGTGAAGAGCCCTTGCTTGATTCGGTGGTTTTTTTCGGCTGTGTTTTTGCAGAAAATGGCGCAGCAGAAAAAAAGCGGCGGCGGGTGTTGCGCTGCTTATTCTTGCGTGCGGTTTTTCTGCTGCTGTCGTTGTGGCTAGCTTGTCACCCGGCCGCCCTCGTCGAAGGTGCAGGCGGCGGCGCTGGCGCTAGATCTCCGCGAAGCTATTCGCCGCCGCGCGTGCTTTTTGGCGGCTTTGTGTGTGTCCTTTGATGCGCGGCGCGGTTTTTTCGGCTGCATAAACACACAGCCGAAAAGCGTCGGGAGGTGTTTTTGCCTTGGTTCTGCTTTCGGTGTTTTTGCGGCTCTGTCTCATCAGTGTCGCCGTGGTTTGTTCTGTTGGGTGGATGCTCCCTTGTTCGTTGAGTGAACGCCAGGCGCTTGCCGTGTGGCTGCTCTTTTCGGTCGGTGTGGTTGCTTTTGCTGTTGTTTCGGCGTGGAGAGAGTAGCGCAGCCGCGTGCCGCCAAAGGGCTGCCCATTGCTTAGCGTTGGCAGCTGCCGCGCTTGTAGGTGCTGAGACCGCTGGGCTGAGCCATGGGCGCTGCTCGTCGCTGTTCTGCTCTTGTTGTTCTGGTCTTAGTCTGGCCCACGTTGGTGCGCTCTTTGGTGTCTGGTGCATGGCCTGCGACTGCCTGGCCCGTTTGCTGTGTGTGTTTCGGTATTAAGGGCTGAAGGCGTTGCATCTTCAGAGTGTTTTACTTTTCTACTTATCGATCAGTGTTCCCGGAGGTCATTGCTTTCGCTGTTGTGTTCTTGGAGAGTGTTCCACTTGCTTGCGGAGCAGAATGCGGAGCCCGCCGCGGGAGGGGTAGTCAGTGTCTGTGGTGTGTTTGGCGCACCCGCTTACTCCTTGCGGAAGTTGGTGGCCAGAGGGTTGCGAACTGCATGGGAGTGCTTGAGAACCTTGCGGCCTGACCGTAATGCGACAGGCCCCCGCGCTGAGTGAGGCCGGGGCGTGGCTGTGGACAAGCCGCGAGGAGGCACGCGCATGGCAGAAGATTGCGGAGGCACTCACGGGGCCAGGGCGTGCCCAGGGTGGCACCCTTGCGGGTACGGAATCGGCGACGGCAATAGCATTGGCTTCGGCGCCATTTGGTTCGGGCTGCGGTGGTGTGGGGACGCCAACGCGGCACCCCTGACAGCGTTCCCACCCCATCGCCCGGGGGTTCGGTTACTTTCTGCCATCTTCTCGGGGGTACTTCTTGGACTCCTCCAACAAAGTCCGCGGCTGTGGGTCGCTTTTGTCGCACGGATTGGCTCAGCCGCCTCAGCTGCGAGAGCTGTTCCTGAATGGGATGCTGGCGCTGCCGTTTATGTCGGCGGGGACTACGTAAGCCGGCTAGGCTTTGCAAATTGCCACAAAGATGCGCCAAAGCTGCCGCCTAGTGGCGTGCCCTCCACTGCGGCCCCTGCCTGCCGCTCGCGCGCTTGCCAAGTGGATTTCCTGGAGGCCTTCCGAGATCGTGTTCGCTATGAAAAACCTGGCCGCAGTAAAGGAGCGCCGTGCGCTGCTGCATCGCGTTGATTGCTGGCGGCGTCACCGACAGGGGCTAGCGTGGTTGCTGCCTTCCCGAATCTGGCACAGATTGGGACTCCTTTGAAGCTGCAGCCGCAGCTATTCGCGTGCACTACTCCGCGCCCCCGTGCGCTGGCGGTGGTGGCTTAGTTTGTGACGAGCGCAAGCCCCGAAGGCAGACAAAAGGGGCAGAAGAGGGGAGGCGGCTCCCCTGTTTGTTTTGGCGTCGTCCGCGCTTAGCCTTCTCCAGGGGGTAAGTGGGCCGGTCGCTCGCGTGTTTGGCAACACAACTGCCCCCGCAGTGCGTTGGATTGCGGCGGACTAGGCTTGGGCCTTGGTGCTCTTTTTGGTCTCCGCGTTTGGTGTGCCGCCAGCTCCTCAGCGCGCGCTGGTTGTGGTGTGAGCAGTTTGGGGAACACACTCAAGCGGCTGGAAACAGTGACACACTCGCCGAGGCGCAAACGCTGGACGGTCGGGGCTCGGGTTCTATGGCGTGCAGAAGCGCTCGCTTGCCTGATTTTAGCGCGCTAAATTTGGCGCGCGTGGTCATGCCGATCGTGTCTTTCAGGGCGGGCCATTGTCGGCGAACTTCTTGGCGCGTGGTTGCTTTTGGCATGCAGGTAAGACTGGCAGGTCGCGCGGGGCGGTTCTTGATTGAGGTCGCCGGGAATAGGGAGACGCGCCCGTCTTTTGCTTCGTTTCTTCCTGGTTATTCAATGCACAGCAGATTCTGTTGGGCCTACTTGGCTGATGTCGTCTGATTGTCGCACTAGACACAGCATTTCTTCTCGAAAACAAGCAAGATTCTTCAAATACAACAAACTTTTTTGATTAGATTACGCATTATTATGAAAACTTTGCGCGCCATGTGCTCCACTACATATTCGTGAAGCGCACTAATCCCAACTATCAAAGGTCGACGCGATTTGGTCAGTGCGTGCATTCTCTTTTGAATAGCTGCAAGGATTTGCGATGTATGGGGAGGACAAGCCAGCGGAGAATCAGACTTCGCGTGAGTATCTGGCTTTGTGAGTAGCGGCAAGAAGGAAAAAGGGAAGGCTCGCAGCGGCTATTGATGGCTGACAAAGCTAGCCTTGAATAATTCTCAGGGCATGTCGCCATCCTGCTTTTTTATCTTCTTAAATACTTCAGAATGAAACTGTAGGTGCGCCAAGTCTGGCTGTATAGATATCGTCCGATCTGAGCGCCAGAAGTAAAGCGATTTGATCAAGTATGTGTTGGGCTCTGTCCTGAGAGAAGCAAGCGTGTGAGCGGTGTGAAGGCGTGCACTAGAGCATGAGCGGCGATCGTAATAAGTAGCATGTATACTGAGCGTGGTCGGTTACCGATTTGCGAAATAGAATCCAGACGAAGAACACAAAGTCAGTCGTGTAGTACGAGAGAGATCCCGAGCTCAAAAAATCGGTTTAGTAACACCTTGCTGGACTTGAAACATTACCCACACCTGTCACTTTTCTTTGTTTTATCCTGTTTGCAGTATGTTTTTCCGACCATTGATAATAAGCCAGCTTGGAGCGCAACATATTTATGAATCGGACTGAAAAGTCATTGCTACAACGAAAAAACATCGCCGAAGTAGTCGGTGACCAAACAGACTAAATAGTCACTGAAAACATGCCTACTCTCCTAAGTATTTAGTGAGCAAGGAATTGCTGTCAATCGGGGTCGACGTCGAAGCGTTCAGGGACATGCTGTGGACTCAGAAGACGACTACCTGCAAAATATGGATCAACAGCCTGATGGCTCTTTCCAAGATTTTCAAGACGATGATCATTAAGGCTGAGGTTCGCCGAAATCCATGATTGCCCATTGTGTCCTGCTTCTCCTCTTCTCTATCTTTCAGTCTTCTCAGGCACTTATCTCGTCCCGCTTACCATGCTATTAGTGTCTGTTCGTTGTTTCTTCCCTCTTCAATTCTGTGGTAAAAACAAGAAGTTTAAAGCTGTGGTGGTCTCCTTGTTGAATCTTAACCTGGCTTTTCTCCTACGTCATGGTCACCGCCATCTACTTTCTAAAAACAGACCCCTACGCACCCAATCTTTTTTGAACCTATCTATCACTTACGCTTAAAAGAGCCCAGTATCACTTAACATTCAGAACTAAGTAATCTAAATTTTTACCTATCCCATACTTCACACGAGCACAAAACTCTAAGAAGAGACTGCAACAGTGGTCGTCAGTCTGGAATCACTGTTCCAACAGCGATGGCGCAGTGCCGTGGAGAAGTTTTTCGGACAACTAGGCGAGGTCGAAACACAGTTTACTTATGGAAGAAGACTACCAGTTTTTTATTGACTACTGTTGCTGTAGTTATTTGAAGTAAGTATGACAGGAGTGATTACTACTGTTGTTGTAGTTTTGTATTTGAAGTTATAGAGTAATCGTTCTCAAATCGATCCTACCTTTGAAGCGTGTCAATGATTGGAGACGCGATGTATTATATATGTTCTATTCTTGGCGCTACAGGAGGATGTGGATGATGATCGTTCCGATGTGGAGTCTTCTTCTACGAAAGGTGTCTACGTACTTGTTTGTTGCCGGTCCGTCTATCATCTCATGACCCCTCACAGGAAACAAAGTAGTACTAAGAGACTTTAGACGTCGAGAATACATATAGAGTTCTAAGAACTCGATGAATCAAGCGAAAGTGAACAAGCGGCTCGAGATCTATCCCTGTTTTTAAGGCTGTTACTATTTGCATCTCTCGTCCAAACAAAGTCCACTGCGAAACTGACTAGCAGCCGTGGTTTCTTAACATTCTGAAACCAACATCAAGAGTGATGCGTTGATGAATTTCGATTTTTTGGCATACTCATTGTCACTAAGTTTGCTTCTGTAAGTGGCAGTATGTAAGACGAAGCTCTAATGTTCGCGATGGCCAGCTGCTTTCTCCCGCAATTGATTTACACATGGGGGTATGTGGTCATCCACATGATGCGTTCCGGAGACCGAGATCTGTCTAGTCTTATGTCATGGCGCAGGTGCCTCTTATCATGTAGCTATAAACGTCTACTTTTGATGACATGATAGTCGTATTCCAATGGAAGCCTTGTCCTTAATCAGTGAAAAACCAATCTAAGTTCTTCCCCATCGACTCGGATGCAGATTACCTGGTTACCTTGTCACGCTCCTACAGCTTGGCGCAACTTCCTCTTAAGAAACTACATATTTTTTGACTGATTGATGTACCTATAGGGATAGGATGACATACTTTTTGATTCATTGATGTGCCTACACATAGGGATAGGATGTGATAGGTTGCCTTTGCCGGGTCTACACGCATGAGGTATACCCTACATGTTTTTGATCTGATTCTTGATCATCCATCCTACATATTTTTTGATGGAGCTCGATGTGAAGGATCCATAACGAGAACCTAGCCTAACCATCCTCTCAAGGTTCTTAAGGTCTGGACAAGATAAATAATCTTCTTGTCATTGCATGAGATGAAGAACTAAAAGATTATATATTGAGAAACATGCTCATATTGGTTATTTTCTCTTGGGTAAGCCTAAGCCACGGCAAGGAGTTGGAAAGCGAGAGCGATCAATCTATACGCCTCTACTTTGCTGAAAAAGTAGAGATGTGCCTGCGGTAGAGGAGGGATGTGAAATAGAAGTGAGCAAGTGGCCATGTGGGAGTCTCTAATGATCAAGAGACAACCGAAATTCTTGATGCAGCAGTGACAATGGCACAGAGACTGCAGCTACTACTGTTAAGACTTGGTGGATGAGTAGAGCAGTGATCGGTCGAAAATGTCCCACGCGAATACGTAGAGCTGGCACCCCGCCAAGCAGTGTACTAACTCAATATCTTCAGAGCTATCAGCAAAACTCGTTCAGAGCAAGCTTAGAGCAAGCAGTGTAAGAACTGAATATCTTCAGAGCAGCAAAAACTCGTTCAGAGCAAGCAGTGTAACTCAGCATCGAAGCACGCTCACGCATCAGAGAAGCTCCTGTAGTTAGCATCTCCAAGTTGCGAATCTTTTTTTGAGTTGTAGGCGTTCTAATCCTACACTCCGGTTTGCAGATTGAAGAGCTGAAACTTCTGGCGTGGCAATTTGGTGAGGACCAACCTGCAGTGGCGACGGATGACCATATGAATGGTCTATAGTACTTACTTGCAAATAGTCCTGCATAGCTTGAGCTAAGTCAATGAACGAAAGACTAACAGTTGCAATTAGTTGAACTTGAAGTTGTCAATGGGATTGGGAAACTACCAGTTGTATGCAATTGTAGTTGTCAATGGGATCATTGGGAAACTACCAGTTGTATGTGATTGTAGTCAGTTTTTCTTTTTCTCTATGACGTTTTTACTACTTCAAGAATTATGGGGTTGGTATCTATTTCCGTACTTCTCATCTCCATGCTTCTAGGGTTCATCATAAACTAACAGTACGCAGTGTTACTCGATTCTCTTCTAAGATTCATCAGCAGGGACCTGGGGAACTGCTCCCAGCTGAGCGAAACTCGCCGAACATCGTAACTACAAACAACAAAGGCGTTACAACAACTTCTGGTGGCACGAAGCTTGCTCCACCGGGAGGAGCGCCTAATTATTCGGCCTCCGGAGGTGGTGTTGGTGTGCATTCCTCCAGCAAGAACATGATACAGCGAGACCTGAACAATGCCAGCAAGAATCAAGTCCGCGGACGGAGCGCCGATGCGCAGGCTGCGGGTGCTACGCAACGCAGCGTGACGCCATCTTCGTACAATTTTCGCGGAAAGAATTGGCTTCCAAGAGCAGGACGAAGCACCAAAAGGGCACAGATTACGGCTACAATTTCAACTTCGGCATCTTCATCTACTCATTTCTACATTGTGAATGAAAGAAAAAGAATATAGATTCGAGATTCGTAGCCGCTCTGTGAAAGGCCGCGGAGAATGCCACTGATCCCTGGCTGACTCTAGGACGAAGAGTAAGTCTCAGAAGAGCACTGTAAGTATGAGACTAAGTTGGGTCACTTCGTAGTACCTAATTTCAGAAAAAACTTCACAGAAGAGTATCCCTAGTATCAGAAGAGTGTGTGGCTTTGTCTGGTCTATACTGTCTTGTCTGCTAGCCCTTAGGACTAGGAGAGCCATTCGATCAGTACAGGTTTGGAATGTCAAATATGTGGCGCAAAGTGTCTCTCTAATCCGCGTGTCGATCATCCGGAAGTCACGGACGTCTTTGGAGGTGTCTCTTCTGCAGTGGTTGGCTCCTCTGCAGCGCTAGATATAGTTAAGACTCTCAGTTCGTCACCATCTAGAGGACCATGAAGCAGCTCGCCAAAGCTGTCCCGTAAGGGAAAAACAGGCTCGGGATCAAGTATGCAGCTCTTAGTGTATGACTATGAGTGCTGGTTTCGTTGTAGCCTTACTAAAAGGGAATTTGTTCAAGATCTTCAATGGATTGGGGTGACTTCTTCTAATATAGAAGGTTCTGCACCGGTACAGCGAGGCAAATTTCGAGGCTTCAACATTCCCAGAACCAATTTCTTCAAGAATAAGAAGAAGATGCCCTCTGACGGCGGACAAGAATTGGCATGATTCACCGTCGTTGAAGGCCGCGAAGCTCGTGAAGTCTCGGTAGTGGAGCACATGACACTGATGACGATGGGACTTGGCTCTTGGGGTAGAGACGGGTGCTGCTGAGGTCTGGGACTGGGTCGTGGAGCACGTACTTGAAGCTGCACGCAAGGTGGTTTTGATTTGCGTCGTGGACGTGGAAGAACAATGACATGATAGATATTGGCAAGAAGAAATGACATGATAGATACTGGCAAGACTTGCTGTTTTTAGAACAGGAGTAACGCAAGATGATAGAAGTAAGTATTCAGGAATCGCGAAACGCACCCAGACGGGAGAAGTGACATGATAGATACTGGCAATCGCTATAGATACTTCAAACAGGGGAAAGGCAAGGTTGTCCAGGAAGGATCAGAGCTGCAAGAAGTGACATGACAGTACTTGCAAGAAGTGACATGGCAGTACTTTTCACTTGCAGGCGAGAAAACTGGTCGACAAAGGGTCAAGCATCAACAAGGTATGTCAAGACCATGATCAAGACCATGACCGTCGTACTCAATGGATACAACTGTGATGAGGCTCGGCACTGATCTTCCAAGCAAGCATGTTTTTAGACGTTTTCTTTGTGCAGATACAGGAATCTTGTATGTGGATGCGGAAGGGCGTGTGTTCTCCGCTGAAAAACAGACCAAAAATGCGAGCTAACAGGACGTCTATCCGGCTCTTTCTTCATGAAATGCTGCTAGAACTCCCTACTTTAGACGTAGTAAATGAGTGAAAAGCGAAAAAGAGAGTCCGGGAGAGATTGTCTTGCTGGGCCTGCGCATAGTACTTTCTCTTACCTTCTTTCCCTCTTGCGCGTTCTACGCCTCCTCTGTGCCTCTCAGTTTGAGAGAAATTACATGCCTGCGCATAGTGTACTTCGTTATCGTTCTTGTTAACTTCTGTGGTCCCTTCTGTTCGTCCCTACCATCCCATGCCTTTGCAGGTCTTTTACGATTTATTAGCGGACTAGTTCCCTACCGGTAGCTCTAGTCGCTGAAGACTTGCCCGTGTGTCCTAAATCTCTTAGTATGCGGCTTCTTTTTCCGAATCTAGCCACAGCATGCGTAAGGCCACAGCATGCGCAGGAGCTGACGCAGTACATGTACAGCTATATCGCTTACGTCACTTCTGTCAAACTGCGCTCCATCTACGACGAATCAGTTGATCATGGACAAACGGGGAACTACTTTTTAACATGACTTCCCAACTTGCTCTTTCTTCATCAGTTCTCTCATTCCCTAGGTCATTGACGCCCCTTTCGCAGCTATGACAGAGAAGGCTGTATACGCCATCTTCATAAGCCATTGCCTTTGTCCATCATACGCTATTCCTTTGAAGCCGCGAGCCGGCTTTTCTCTCTCACAGGAACGGAGTCACAGAACAAACGATCTGTCAGCCCGTCTGTTGCAAGACTGGGCATTTCGTCACACTATTCCTGGCTCTGCTACCCAACCATAGTGATAGCCGGCGCTGCGACCCATGTATATGAGCTCTGCTTCCCATGTATATGAGCTCTGCTTCCCATGTATAGGAGCAGTACCTCCCTGGCTCTGCGACCCAACCGTAGCTCAACCTTCTTCCCAGAGACTTTCCATGCAAAATTTCGGAGGAAGTGTCAAAGCGATACACTCTAACAACTGCCGTTCTTTTGCACTCGAGCTCCATTCTGCGCACATTTGCTTGCAACCCTGGCCCGCCTTTGTCTGCATCACGAAGCTGCACTACAGAGAAAGAGAAAGGGAGGCGTGGAGGCTCTTAAAAAACCTAATGCTAATTATTCGTCTGGAATTCGCGCGTTGAATTTTGATCGCCAAATGTCCCGTCGTTCTCCCCAAGACTCGATTGATTCACTTCAGCCTTGATGTAGGAGGCCTGAACCCAAGTAAATCCATCGGCCCACGCCCAGTGTAAGCCGTGCTGCGACCGTATGCTCCTCAAGCGGTTGAGCTGGGAGATACTCCTGTGGCCGTCATTTAATAAACAAGCAGGCGATGTTCCTGAATAAGATACCTCTATCGCTTTCGCGTTTTTATGTTCCCTCTGCAAATGCTGTCGTGCTGGTATGCCGCGGCGGCGTGATCCGTTCTGAATTGCGGGCCCTGCTCGGAAACGAAGAGCACAAACGCAGGCATTGATCGTGCTCACTCGTTGTCGAGGAAGGGGGAAACGGTGATACAACAAACAGACGATACGGCGGCTTCCACCACGCTTCTTGCAGCGCTATGCTTAGGCGTACTTAGAAAAAAATACGCGCTTTGTTTAGGGTGCTCCCTAATATAGTCACCAAGTCTGCTGCGCCTTGGACTCCTGCCGTCTCCCACAAAAGCCGGGTTCCTAGTCAAAGATAGTCCTACTCTTGTCCGCTTCGGAAAGAGAAGTTGTCAGTCCACTACTACCACTTCGTGACCTGGGTTAGCAGCTTCTTCCTCCGAAGCGTATAACAGCATCGCATATGTAACAGTCTTTCTTTCTGCATTTGGCGACGGATCAGCCAAGTGCATTCCCAGAAAGGCAAATGCTAGTATCCACATTGTTGTAACGTCGCGGTCAACTTCGAGCTGCCAAGCATCAGATGCCTCTATTCTTTGGCGACATGCCTTCAACACTGCTGAGATACGACTCAAGAAAATCCGCTTGAGCTCGTTTTCTTCGTGTCCCTCAAGAATATTGCCTTCCGGTTCTTCTCCACGATTATCCTTCATGACTGAGCGCAGACGATCGGGTCCCCTGCTTCTTGTAGTTGTGCCGTTCGCAGCGTGCGTCAAAATCAAGTCTACACTGGTCGTGTTCGTTAGCGCAAACACTTCTGAGTAGCAGTCCCGCCCATCCCCGTCGACAGACTCTAAGTAGATAGGGCCACTGGCGTTCACCTGCGCATGACGAAGAGGACCAGCTGTGGGCGTCTAGGCTCCTATCGGGACATCGAGAGAAGTCGAATCTGAATGGTGTGCACATGGCGGGGGCCGACTCTCGCTGTCGACGCGTCCGAATCTTGGTGACGCACGTGATGCGCCCGTCGCTGACGCGCAGCTTCGCTCTTTGAGCATGTTTTTCACGACTGTGGAGGCTGTATCCAAAACGTCGCTGACTCCTCCCGCAGATGTTGACTTGTGATGTCGGTCTGGACGACTACAACCAATCGCGAAGCGAGTAGCAATAAGTTTAGTTTTTCACTTTCTCCCTTCTTCTTCTCACCACCATGCGCTTCCCGTCTCTCTCCACGACCTTGTGCAGCATGACTGTGCTCCAAATCGGAAAATATGCCAATGCGCCAACGGTGCGAGCGCCTCCTCCGCATGTGCCCAAATGATGACCCAGACTCGTGCTCGTCCCAGTAGTGATTTGCGGCGGTATCATCAAATCATTGTCATTCTGCTGGCCTCGCCATTGTTCGTCTCGTCCCACCGCAGGCTTCGTCGCGTGGTTGCAAAGTGAGGATCCACGCAAAAGGGTGACATATGTTGATGAAACATTAGCCACGGCAAGCAAATACTTCGGATGCGGTACGGTTCTGTTCATATCCCAACAATGTGACAATGCCACTCTGCTGCTTCGACGTACCAACACGTCATCTGCCTGGCGCCCTCTCCTCGCAACAGCTGCGGACGCTCTCCTCGAATCGAGCGCGAGCACAGCTCGCGGCTACACGCTCGCCGTTGGTGGCGCCATCGAGAAGGGCGTCAAGAAAAGCGCACAGGCGACCAGCCATGGTTCCATAAAGAAATCATCGTCACTGACTCTCCTGTATTTTGGTGTATGCGAACGACTGCAGCAGACACGAAGGACAGATCGCGGCTGTCTGTAAGCACTTTTCGAATCAACCTTCTGGGTTTTTTTTTCTCCAGGAGTACCAAGAAGAGGAGCTTGCCGTGATGAAGTGCGCTCGCGCAATGAAATCGGCCTTACCACCAATGCGAGGCTCCAGGAAGTAGAAATTTGACGAAAACGCGCGTTGCATCGAGTTCGATGCTCCAGTAAGCAGCGTGGCTTGAGCTGCAACCGAATCGAAAGAACGCTTCTGTGTAGGGACTTGATGTTCAGCCTGTGCTTCCAGTTTTCTTGCTTACGCGATGGCTTCTTGTCAGTACTCTTCTGCTCCAAACAGATACTGGGGCCAACATTAATCGAACTTTTCCTGAGTGATATCATGATCCATCTTCGGAACACCACCATGCATGCACAATGTGTCAAGTCGTCCCTGACTGCCTTTCAAAACATGCCGGATGTTGCAGAGCTGTATGGGCAAGTTGTATGGATGCCGCATGCACCGAACGTGACAAGAATGGATGCATCAACATTCGGAGATAGTGGCCACTATTCGAACGCGAAGAAACATCTTCGGCAAAGATGATCTCTTGTCTGTCCTTCTCGGCAAGTTACGAGGGCACTGTCTCGAAATGCAGTTACTACCGACTTCCAAATGGACTAGGTACGCTGGATAGGATCAGGATGCTGAAGATTTGGGGCTACTAAACCTAGTAAAGCTAAAACAACGAACAAAAAAAGCTCAAAAAGTATACTATAGAAACAAGACTTCACTTTTACCGTAACATAGGCGCATCCGGAAGAGGATGATACCTAACGTCAATCAACGACTAATCTTCAGTAGCCACCGCGAAAATGCACAAAATGATCCTCAAATAGATGTTATTGCCGATGAATGGATAGCGTTCTATACACGCCGTGAGATATGCTGGTATGGTATTTACTCTCAAAAAAGAAAGACCTCCCCGGATTCCTAAGAATAGAAGTCGAACTCTTCCACTACATGTCTCCTACACTATGTAAAAATCAGACGTCGAAGCAACATGAGCCAGAGAAGTTGAACCTGAGTAGAGCGAAGAGCAGAACTTTCTTCGTGTGCAGAAAGCTCATACAGCTTCTGGCTCCAGTTCAGGAAATGCATGGGTGACAATCGAATGCAAATAAGTGCTGTCTGTGAGGGCGCCTAAGCCACATCGGCTTCTCGTAGGGCTCTGAAGAATATAATGATCTAAATATTACTTATGATTATGTTTGGTATGGCCGATCCGAGATGACCGAGAGCAGAAGCATATATCGTGATGAAATCCTCTACTTCCGGTCGTCTTCATCCGTGGCCAAGAACATGATCAGATCAAGTAGCCAAGAAGGTTACCAATGAAAGTATGCGCACGCCTGCTATTTCGATAAATTCAAGAGTAGAAACCATGATGATGATGTTCAAACGTCTAGGCAGTAGCTGAGAGCAAACGTACGTCTAACCTCGAAAGCATCTGGTTAAAATGCATAAAGTCGCCAAGGCTAACAGCGACAACAAGACGATACTGATGTAAAGCGTAAGGAAGGATCTTAGGAATTTAGACCAAAGGAATATCTCCCGTGCCAAGCAAGTAGATTTAGAGAGTTAGCAAACTACGCATCTACTTCAATCTAAAATTCCCCCAAGAAAAGAGCCCATGTTTGTACTCATTGTGTGTCCATCCCCTCCCGACGTAAAGAAAAGGTCGCTTTTTAAGGTACTTCTGCTGAACATTCTCCTGTACATTCCCCTTCTTTAATCATCTTCCCCTTCTGACAGAACTCTTCAATCCACATCGGATAAGCAAGACCGACTTCGAGCATGAAGAGCATGTTGGCGACGATGGCAGAGACCGCCGGGAAGATCGTGGACAGGCTACTGGCGATGGAAGCCGCTGCGGCGGCTGGCGCAGCGGTGACCGTGCAGGTGGTGGTGGACACGAAACTTATAGCTCGAGAAGTTGGTTCCGGTGAAATCGGTGGTCAACTGGAAGACGATTGCGCAGGTCACAGAAAAGGTGGCCAAGATGCTGTCGTTGGCCGCGACCATCAAGTTCTTGGCGCTGTCGCTGGCAGCCGCGGTGGCGGACTGTACGGTGAAGGTACCGCTAGCGCCACCAACCGCGAGCACAAGCGGATGGCCGAAAAGAACGCCGGACCAGGTCATGGACACAGAGGTGGTAGCACCGCCTCCACCGCCAAATGCTCTTACAGCTGATCGACGTAGGGAACGGTTCCGGGGCTGTAGTTATGGGATGAAGATGATTTAGATTTAGGCTCGACTAACGATGGTAAGCATTGATTGTTTTACATGATTCAGATTGAAAATGAATGCTGTTGTAATAATCTGTGTGTCTACCTACCTCAATGAGTTCTGTCTACAACGTGCGATACAGACCGCATTAAATTAGGACATGAAATTGCAGACGAACAACGACCAGAATTGGCGTTCAGCTCTCCATCGAAGTCGTAAAGCAGTACACAAGCTCCGCAGCAGTTATTGTGGAGGCGATCTCGTTCTTGGTAACCGTGCTGGAAACTGTGGAGGTCGGAGCAGCGGTGGTAAGATTTGAGGAAGTTCATCTTTAGACGATTCAGAATACAGTTACACGACCGCAAAGTCCTACGAGAACGTGGTATAGCCTGATCATCTTGATACGAAAATGATGAAAAAGACTCGTCTAACTTACATACTTTTACCCGCGTGACATAATCGGGCCAGGGGTGATTCCATTGGACAACGGCGCGAACATGGTCGAGGCGAAGGTGGTCGAGGCGAAGGTGGTCGAGGCGAAGGTGGTCGAGGCGAAGGTGGTCGAGGCGAAGGTGGTCGAGGCGAAGGTGGTCGAGGCGAAGGTGGTCGAGGCGAAGGTGGTTGAGCCCAACGTGCTCGAGACGAACGGGGTCGCGGCGAACGTAGTCGGAGTTGGGGCACGCGAAGGCGCTGTGTCAAGAACCGGGAACTTCCAAGTGGAACCTTTCCTAGAGATCTGATCATATGGCACAGATGGTTTACTCATTTGTGCAATCGATCTCGTTATGCTACCGGTCAGGCCGCCCTACCTCGGACAGTACTGCTGCGCACACGTCACTCCGTGTGCAACCGACTTTCTGAAAGACAAGCCTGACCGATTGGCGCTACTGGATGAACAACCGGGTCTGACCTGGGTGATTGGCGAGCACATGTGCTACGTGCCTTCTTCCCCTGAGTTGAAGGAGAGTTCCTTGCGTTCCGTGTGTGTGTGTGTGTGTACTATGCGTATGACCTTACCTACGAGAGATGTTGCAATCGACCTCAAACAACTGAGACACACGGATGATGTGTCATAGAAATCCTGCGTGTGCAATTCTCAATGTGCAGCAAGGTAGTGGCTGCTGCCTGGGAGACTCACCAGATCAACATGGGAAACCACGGAGGAAGCAAACCCAATAAAGGGAAAAGTCGTCAAGTCTACTCATTCTCGGAATTTCAAGCGAATACTGACTCCTTCGGAAATATCTTCTATCCATTCAGCAATTACAGACTGACTGTAATATGCGTATGCCCTTGCCGATGAAAGACTCTGCAATCGGCCTCAAAAAAGTGAGGCACGCAACACCCCAAGAAGGAAAGTCGCATCGTGGAAAGCATGCTTATGCAAGTCTCATTTTACAGCAGGATAGTGGCTGCTGCCTGGGAGACTCGCCAGATCAACAGGACAGCAGAGGAAGAAAGGCAAAATCGTCAAGAGTGTCCTCTTGACGAGGAATTTCAAGCGAATACTAACTCCGTCGGAAATGGCTTCTAGTGTCTATTCATCAGCTACAGTCTCTTCTGTTCAAAGTTCTATGTGTCATTCAAACATTATCTTCGTCTTTTTCTGTGTGATTGAGTATGACGAGCATAGCATTATCTGCTTGGATTATGCAGCGCGTCATCATCTTCAGCGTCCCTAGATGAAGGACTTGCGTCAACCACACACCAACATCTCCCCACATGGTTGCTACCTCTCATCGCTAAAAAGCAGCTTAGCTATCATCCCTCCAGTGAGCCAGAAACCCAAAGCAATATCCAACTCTTTCATCAGTAAGACCACGCGAATCGCAAGACCTGTTGAGGGGTTGAGTTGATAAGAAATTCTACTCCATAGTTCGCTATTCTAAAAAATCTAAATAATTGGAAAAAATTCAAACTGCTTTAGACTTCTTGCTGAGAATCATCGTGCCAATACTGGAATGTAGTGCCTCCCGTATGCGCTTCCTGTCCCCATCACTTTCTGACCATTGCCCCGATTCTGAACATCAAAACGCTTGACCCGTGACGACCTCCTCCTTCTTGAACGTCAGAACCTTTTACCTGGTTTGAGGCGGAGTGTTTCTAACCCATGTTTATCGCGTGGATCTAGAGTTGGCGAGAAATTCGAATCTCAGGTTCATCTAAACCCACTGAAGAGACATGACATAAGGTGGCGATCAGCAGACCTCAGATTTTTGGATGAGGGATTTCGAGACAAGAATTGCATCTAAGCTACGTTACTCTAAATCTAAACAATTCATGCAGTTTTGCAATTGCGGAGAATCATGCAGCACTAACAATAACAGCATGAACCTCAGTGAAAGTATCTACTTATAATCAGAAAAGAAGGTCTAGTACCTTCCACAGTCACCTCCTCCCCCCATCAGTCGTGACCAGCGACCACCACCTTATCCGTAGCTTACGCTGACGGACATTTCCCGTAGGTTACACTGTCAATGGCACTGCTGATGCCTTTGTCGAAAAACATCTTGCGCTCTCGATCGGTCGCGCGCGGCATAACCCTACAGAGATCAAGCCTGGAGGTTGGAAAGAAGAATGAAAACCATTGGACATATCTCACCTCGGCAGACGCACAACACGACGAAAGATCGTTCATGTTGAAACAGGAGGAAAGCTCAAGTTGAAAAGTGTCTTGATCACAAAAGAGGAACTACGAAAGGAGTAGTATGTGCTATGTACTTCCATTTGTCATAGTTTGCATGCGTTGCTGTTGCAGCTGCCAACACGGCCGAAAACCCGTTCGCCATCAAGACTTCCAGTAGCTCCGCTTTAATCGGTTCCGCCAAAACTGAAAAAGGTAGGCCGTCTTCGAACATCGATGCATTATCCGGTGCGCCCAATGAGACGAAAATGTCATGTAACATCGTTTCAGTGAGTTGCCCAGGAGGACTCGGTCCCGAATTCAATGTCTTCCATTGCGTCACCGCCGCTTTGAGAATCGCACAGCAAAGAGTATTAGACTGGCAAAGATGAGACTGCGGCAACTTTTGGATGGCCACTCTCTCCGGGTCGACATCGATGCTAAATATAAGATTTCCAAAACGCAGATCGGATCTACCTACACCACACCGCAGAGCGATGCTGCGGATCCTGTGTTGTATTTGGGAGAGAGTGGCCTAGCCGTCAGACAGCCGCCACCATATTAATCGTCTTTAGCTCGTCTGTGACTTTCGCATTTAGTTTCTTACCACCCTCCGTCAACCCCTGTTTTCTGAACGACGGCAAACCCGTCCAGGAGGAGAAATCTGCAACGGCCTCGGAAACAATCGCCCTGGCGACCTGTCTCTTTTGTTTGATGTCGCTCAGAGGCATGCTCATCTCCGCGAAAGCGGTCTCGGGTCCATACCAATTGCCGATTACCTCTTTCTCCTTCTGGCGACTGACTCCCTGAACCATGGGGAACAGCATCCCGATGAACAGAAAGAGAGAGAGAGAGAACGCGGTGAGCAGGCAGATTAGAGGGGTCGGGCGAGCGTAGTAATCTTATAGTGTTTCCATGTTTTTCCTGTGAATGTGGGGCGGTGCCCAGCTTGGGAACCACCTCCCTGCCAATCTGTCGAACCCTCTCCGAGACCGAGACTCGACCTCGAGACCCGCCGAAGCTGAGTGGAAGCATTTGGCCGCTGAGTTGAAAGCCTGACGGGATAGGGCGCGGCTCCTTGTCTCAGATTCCTTGCCTCAGGTTCCTAGTCTCAGGCTCGTCGTTTCAGATTTCTCGTTTTGGATTGGCTGCCCTGGCTTCCTTATGGAAGCCTATCTCGGATGGCTTGTCTCGGATGGCTTGCTTCGTATGACTTGCCTCAGACCGGCCGCCTCGGATTGCTTGGCTTGGACTGGTTTGCTCAGATTATTCCTCGTCTCAGATTCCGTGCCTCATGTTCCTGGCCTCAGATTCCTTGGCTCAGATTCTTTGACTCAGCTTCCTTCTCTCAAGTTGTTCCCTGTCTTAGATTCCTTTTTTCAGATTCCTTGGCCCAAGTTCTTTGGTTCAGATTCCTTGCCTCAGATTCCTTGGCTCAGATTCCTTGGCTCAAGTTTCTTGCCTCGGATTCTTTTTCTGATTCATTGCGTCAGATTCTTCGCTTCGTTCGGGTTCCTTTTCTCAGATGCAGACTCCTCAGCCCAAATTCCTTGCTTCAGTTTGGCTGTTTCAAGTTCTGTGCTTCAAATTCCGTGGCCCAAATTCCTCGCTTCGAGTTCTTTGCTCCAAATTCCTTGCGTTGGATTGGCTGGGCCCAGGTTATTCCTTGTCTCAGATTCCCTGGCTCAAGTTCGTTGGTCTAAATTCCTTGGCTCAGATTCCTTGGCTCAGATTCCTTGCCCCGGGTGCCTTGTTTCAGATTCCTCGGCTCGGATTCTTTGGCTCAAATTCCTTGCTTCAGGTTCCTCGTCTCAAATTCCTTGCTTCAAATTCCTTGCTTCAGACTGGCTGCCTAAAGTTCCTTGCTTCAGATTCCTCGCTTCAAATTCCATGCCTCAGCCAAGTTCTTTGCTCTTAATTCCTTGCTTTGGATTGGCTGCGCCAAATTCTTTGCTTTGGATTGGCTGCCTCGAGTTCCTTACTTTTAAACTCGTGGCGTGGGACTGGCTGCTTCAGGTCCCTTGCTTCGAGTTCCTTGCTTCGAGTTCCTTGCTTCAAACTCCTCGCTTCAAACTCCTTGCCTCAAGCTCCTGGCTTCAAACTCCTTGCTTCAAACTCCTGGCCTCAGGTTCCTTGGCTCAAATTCCCTGCCCTGGTTTAGCTTTTTCAAAGTCCTCGCCTGTTTGGATTGACTGCCTCAAATTCCTCACTTTTAAAGTCATTGCCTCGGATTGGTTGCCTCAAATTCCTTGCTTCGAAGTCCTTGCCTCAAGTTCCTCGCTTTAAATTCCTTGCGTCAGGTTCCTTATTTTGGTTCGGCTGTTTCAAATTCCTTAACATTTTTAATGCCTTTTTTTGGATTGCCTTTGTCAAGTTCTTTGCTGGGGGTTGGGTTCATAAACCTAGCAGCTTCGGCCAAGTTCCTCCTTTTTAAATTCTTTGCGCTGGGTTGGCTGTTTTAAGTTCTTTGCTTCGGGTTTGGTTGTTTCCAGTTCCTTTCTTCAAGGATGGCTTTTCCAAATTCTTTGCTTTGGGTTGGGTTCACAAGCCTAGCAGTCTCGGCTAAATTCCTTACTTGTAAACTCTTTGCCTCGGGTTTGGTTGTTTCAAATTCCTTGCTTCAAAGTCCTTACCTCAAGCCCCTTGCTTCAATTCAAAGTCGTCGCCTCGAGTTCCTTGCTTCAAATTCCTTGCTTCAAATTCCTTGCTTCAAATTCCTTGCTTCAAATTCCTTGCTTCAAATTCCTTGCTTCAAATTCCTTGCTTCAAATTCCTTGCTCCAAGTTATTCCTTGCTTCAAATTCCT